TTTTCTAAATTTAGCTCTAAACAGGGATATGGACCATATGGTTAGTCAACACTACAGGACTCATCTAATCAACAGGCAACATCAATGACTATCACAGACCAGCATGCATAGTGCTATTAGGACTAGATATCTGTTCAATAATTTTTAATAAAACCTAACACCTTAAAATTTTAAATGGACATGAATCTAAGATAGGAGTTTTAGAAATTAATACAGACTTTTGAATAAATTGACTTACACATGTCCAAAACTTGACATAGAATCCAAAACAAACTGAAACCATCACAGTACAATCAACATACCAAGAATTCAAAAACTTGTACCTATCTAAACAAATATTAAAGTTTTATTTATAAGATTTTCTTTACCATAGATCCCATCCCACAGAAAAAGCTAGAAACATGAGAATTCTGGAATGGCAGCCAATTATTAGATATACACGTCAAAATTATAATTCTATACTTTCACAAAAAAAAAAAGCCTTCCCATGGTAACAATATTCATCAAATAAACCAGAGCACAAAAGCAAGCCTCTCAAAAAGTCTAATACCCAAATTTCCCAAACACAGTAGTGAGATAGAGGCCAAACAAGCCTGAATTATCAAACAAGGAACAGAGAGTATTGTTGGGAGGGGGGTAATTGACCATCTTCTGCTTAGTCAAATGCAAGAGACCAATAAGTCACTGACCACCTTTAGAGCCCGGGTTCAGATTGCAAGGGGCAGGGCAGCAAATTGCACCAGGTTAAGATTTATATATTAGATCCTTCCCTAATAAAATTTGGTCAGTTCAGCACATGACAAGAAAAACAATTAAGGCTACTGTATTATGTCACCCATAATCCACCTAGAGATGGCTGGACCAAAAATTAAACACACTAAAGGTTTACTCCAGAAATACCAATCAGAACACAAATACAAAATTAATAGTTGAGCTTGGATGATTTATAAAAAGCCAAAATTCACTAATAAGTTGGTAATGGGGACACAGCCACACAGATTTTCAGATGTAAATTCTAACAAGGATGCTAATAACTTTAATATATTCATTAGAAGTCACAGTTACCTTTTTTAACTAGTGAGAAATTGAGAATGAAGAGAAGGAAATATCCGGTACCTGGATATTACAAAAATGCAAACCAGCTATAAGTAGAGGTAAGATGGGCCCAAAAGGACCATTTGGTACTTCAGTCAAATTCTGAAACCATAAGATTCCTTCCTGCAGAAAATTACATTTTAACCTTATTGAGTAGCAAATTAAAAAGAAAAATATCACAACTTATAGGATAAATACTAAATGTCAGCTGCAGTAAGACCCCCAAAAAAAAAAAAAACTTGATGGAGTGGAAGTGTGGAACCATCTATACAAGAGTTAAACATTGAGCTATATGCCAGAATGCCACCACTAAACTTGGGCATTTACAACCACATCCCCCCACAAGCATGAAAAAACCGATGAGACCTTGGAACACAAGCAAATGAGTATTAAGAGGGCAAAGCATCACGTAAAGAATTATCACAACACTCAAAGTTGCCAGTGACTTACAGTATCAAATCCTGGATACAGATCCAGTGACATTTTCCGGATACTAGCCATCCATAAGATGAAGCATGGGATCTGCAAACCAACGCAAAGTAGGCAAAAGTGTCAAAAACATTCACCTTCCTAAAAAAAGCTATAGCACAATCACTTTCAGCTGACCTGGACTGCAAACGATGCCAGAAACCACAAATATGAAGGACACCCTAGCGCTTGTCTTTCCCTCCGAAAAAGAGAGAACTGATCTACGTAACTTTTTCCCGAGAAAGGTAGCGGGATTGGAGGAGGCACTTCAAAAATCCAAATGGCAACAATGAAAAAACCAGTATGAAATGTTTGTCATGGTGATCAAAGAAAAATATTTAAAGTACAGACAAAAAGGCACCAAATTTTCTCAAGTAAAGCTAGTCCATAATACCTATTTTGTCACATCAGAAGGTATGTAATAATTGTGTGATTTGTGCCTAAAGCAAGCTAGTTATCAATTTCCACATAAATGATTAAGAGAAAATTCCCAAAAGGACACTATGGTCAATAACAATATTCTCAATTGTGGAAAAATCATTCAGCAGTAAGCTCTGATATAAAAGGCTCAGTATTCTTTTTGAAAACAAGGGCACAAGGTTCAGTATTCTAAGAGAGGTTGTCAACAATCATTGAGTACTAAATATACAACTAGCAAATAAAGTCCCCAATTTTTATAGTTTCACATGTAATTGAGTACTAAATATACAATTGTTCAGTTGACATGTAAATGTTCTTAAATAGCAAGCCAAACTACAAGCTATTAGTGAGGCCAATGCCAATGGTGAAAGAAAAGCCACATGAACCAAACAGAAGGCACACATTGGTCAAGTACCCCACCTATCCAAAGTTTAATGGACTCGGTAACTATTCCAGGGAATTTGAAGTTGATAGTCCACCGTGTTTATCAAAACAATATACATAAGAACAACGAGTT